TTCGTCTTTTTCTTACATCCTGGTTGTGAAAGCCTGATTGGTTGGTTGAAATATGGCTTTGTGGCCCGACGATTCTGAATATGTCGCTATTTTTTAGAAATGGCGAAATTTTGGCTTCCTTGATTTTATTTATTTTTCTACCACTACAGGGTTACTGGCGTAACACTGTCATACAATAAGACAAAATTTACATACACGTGTGTTATTACTTTAATTAATAAAACACTAGTACGAAGCATTAAAAAGCAAATTTATTGAAGAGTTACAGGAATAATTACCAAGCATATCGTGAAAATCAGTGTAAATTGGAGGCCGCAGTATCATGATTTAAAAGTAAGCACCAGTTTAGTTGTTTACTATCTCAGAAGTGAGTCAGAATGTTTTAATGCTTGCTGTCTACTTCACCTTGAAGGAAGTACTTGCTCTTTTACACCATTCAAAATAAAATTTATCAATATTTCTAAAAGACATGATATTTTTTGGAATGCAGAATGTCTGAAGTGTAGAAATTAAGGGTTGGCATCTATTTTTGACAGAAAATCATGTAAAACAATTTCATTCATGCTTCTTTTGATATCATTTGTCTGTCGGAGTTAACTCCTCCTTAATTGTCCAAGTTGTTCACTAGGGCACGCTCTCCCTACACTATAAATACTGAGCGATTTCTTGCCTCGTTCTCTTTTTGATTTCTTCATTTTCAGCGAACAGATCTACAATGTAAGCTCTCACAGAAGATTGCGTCTTCCCATTTGTGGGAGACGCCATGAATATTATACACACATACACGTACGTACGAACATTCACCAAAATACAAACACTTTGCGTTCACACACGAACACAAATGTTAATGTCTATGTCCATTCTAAATTTTGTTGTTTAATACATACATTTGTTTGTATATATATATCGGTCTTGTTTGTTTTCTTTACACTTCTTTATGGTGGATTCAATCTCTGAGTCGACCATGTTCTTGTAGTGGACCTTCTTCTAGCAGGAAATACACGCACATGTTCCTAAATTAACAACGCGTAAACCCCCGGTCCGCTACGTGTTTCCATACATTGAGAAGAGCTAAAAATTATTATGTGCTCTGCATCTTGTAAGACAATCAATGATGAAAATGTGTTGCAAAAATTTGCCCAACAACCAAAAGACTCGGGTCGGCTCACTGATGACTTCTAATATATGAGATTTTCGTTGTAGACGATTTTACACTCAAATAAACACAAACACATTGTGAAAGATAGACATCGTTATAGACAAGCTCATGGTTGCAAGAAAGAAATACGAGAACAGCAGAAATAGATTTACGTGATTTATTTCAACAGGAACGTGTGGGTTTGGGACAGCTACCTTGTGGTATAGTTCATAAGCCGGCTTCCGATCTGGGTTGATCTCTCATAGTAGTTCTCACTGGTTGGCGTGGCGCTCCTCCTGCTGACTGTTGCTAACTGACCGTGACAGGTCTCTTCCCTGGCCTCCTGTTGACTGCTGCTGACTGACCGTGACAGGTCTCTTCCCTGGCCTCCTGTTGACTGCTGCCGACCGCTCAGCCTGACCGTGACAGGTCTCTTCCCTGGCCTCCTGTTGATTGCCGTTGTACTTGCCCGTGTGACCCCTTTTATGGCGTTTTTTATGACTTAACAGGCTCGAAAAACGACGCGAGTATAATTAGGAGGGAAGCATTTTTATTGGTCGAAAAATAAAAACACTTTAAAATATTATTTTATTTTTCGACCGGAACTCGTGCGTCGGGCTTATGCGTAGACGACGATAATGGTCATTTTGTGACGGGGCCTTGTCCCGTTCACACCCGGCTCTCGCTCTTAAGTATGTTAGTTTATTTGCCTGCAAATCAGCCAAGATATGTCTTATTTTATTTTATAACAACATTTATTTTCATACGCTATTCATTCAAATTAGTGGGTTAGACGGAGTATAAAGCAAAAGAAAAAGCATGACATTTAATGCTATAGATGTGTGTGATTACTGTCTGACTGCTTTCACTATTTACCTTAAATCACATCAACTTGTCCTAACAAAAAACATTTATTTGCATCAACCAAATAAAAATAATTTAATATGGCTTATTTAATCAAAATTAATTTCCGCCAGTTAAAGTGCTGTCAAAATATGTCATACAGAAAGTTTTACAAATATTAAAGTATTAACTTTCAGTTAAGTATATTTGCCTTTGGTAGATGAAAAAATTGTGTCATTCATTGAAATGAAACGAAGTAACATTTTGGCGTCTATTACAAAACGTTATTCATGCCAAAACCGCAAGTTGAATAAACATTGCAGTTACATATTGTGATCATTTGAATGTTGAAAGTTAGAGAAAATAAACAGGATTTATTTCATTTTGTAAACCTGTAACAAGGATCTGGTTTGACATTATATGTAGGTAGCTCCAAAGAAAAATGATATCCAACTTAAATCTTAATTACAGCTTCTTCTTTTTTTTTAAATGAAGTTTTTAAATAAAAAATCTTTCTTGAAGTTTTTACTTTAGTTTTAATTTCAAACTAATAGATTGAATTTAATATTTCAAATAAGCAAAATACTTTAGTGCATTTCAAATTGAATTTAAATTGGTTGAAATGAGTTTGTTTTTAATCGTTAAAATGGCTGAGTTTAGCCATATTTACAAATTTCTCAGCACAACCTAATTCTTTTTATTAAAAAAATCTTAGAAAAATAAAATATACTTTCCTGAAAATATATTTCAGGAACATTAGATGATTTACAGTTTAATCAATCACATATGAAACAAATATAACTTACTTTTAGTTTCAGAAAAGCATTTTTAACACTGAGATGGGTGTTTTCATGAGGGGTTGACAATTCTATTGACAGTCTGATGCTTGGTAAATTTAAAAAACTTTTCTACGGGGGGCATATCCGTAAAAATTACCTGACAAATATAACCTGAGGGCCTTATATATATATATATATATATATATATATATATATATATATATATATATATATATATATATATACCCAGTAATCTTAGAAAATTAGGAAAATATTTTAAGTAATCTATTATTTTATAGAACTTTAGGTACCTTGGTTTTAAATTTGCTATAATTACTGTTCTTATTTCTGTCGTGTCTGGACGTTTGTATTTTAAAAAAATCGACGTTTATACACGCACATAAAAAAATTCAAAATTCTTTTTAAAATAATGGTTTTCGCTGAATTGTAGTAAACGTTTCCATTTATGATAAGTGAATATAGTTTTTATTTAATATCACCTATCCGGTGCAAATTAATAGTTTTAGAAGTCTCTCTAATTAAATACCGTCTTAGTTTTACGTATTTCATTTTTTTTATTTTATGTTTCAGCCTAAATTTTCGGTAAGAAATTTTTCTGCTCAACTAAGGATTCATTTTGCGACTCGTTCTGCCTTTTTCCTCTATCCGTATGTGTCCTCTTCCTCCCCATCATGTTTCTTCGGTGATTTATTCGTTTAATTGTGGTTGTGGTAGCAACTACATAGGTAGGACTTCCCAACATTTAGATTGTAGGATCAGGCAGCATGTCCCATTACGAGTTCTTAATCCGGATGCTCGTAACAGCCAGCTGGTTAATACTTCCGGGTCAGTGATCACTGAACATTTTATAAATTGCAGGGATTGTGCAATGAATTTCAGTCCGGACTGGTTCTCTGTTCTGTCTAGTTCGCACTCTCCTTTTCATTTGAGGGCACTGGGCTCTCTGTACATCCGGTCCAGGGAGCCGTCTCTTTGTAAGCAAAACGACTGTCTCCTTGGACTTCACATTATTAAACTCTAGTGTCTGGGAATCATATATTCCCCCTCCTCTTTTTCCCCCCTTCTTTTCGCTGCGTACATTCGGGTTATTTTGATTTTGTTCTTCCCTCATACCATTAATCATTTCAATTTTTAATGTTTTAATTGTATGTAGGGTGTTTGTGGGAGTAAATGTATCTTTGCAATAAATTATTAATCTGTTCTCAGTCGACACTGATGAGCTTGGAAACAAAACCGGTTGGTCTGTCTTGTAAGTGTTTTCATTTCTTATTTTCATATTTCACAATGCCTATAAGAAAAAATTATATTTCTTTTCCTTATATATATATATATATATATATATATATATATATATATATATATATATATAGGAAAATATATATATATATATATATATATATATGGAATGGAACTAGAACAGTCTACCCCAGTGAGCGAAATAAAGGGTTCAGACATTACAGCCACCTGAAGAAGGCCGTATAACGCCCGAAACGTTGCAATAAATATGGCGACAAAGATGAGGACAATAGTCCGAATAATGTAAATAATGTACATAATACCTCATCTCAGAAATATAGACAGATGATAAAAAATATAATTTAATAATCAAAAAATCCTTTGGTCTTTCCTCTTATTAATCTTTGGAGGGACCTAATTAATGTCAATCGAACTTTCATTTTAGAACCAACTCATGCGTTTTCACTTTTAAAACGACTTTCTCAAAAGTGAAAAAATCCAAGAAAATAATATCAAAACCATTCAAATTCGTCAGCAAGAACGCATTTTCTTGCAAAAATATTCTGCAAAAATATTCTGCAAAAATATTCTGCTGGCAGTTTTGTTCATTGTCTTTGATTTTGTTATTGCAAATAACACAACTAATGTTGCTACTGACAAAAATCAAGCTCACGAACATTTTTCTTTTGGTTCTCAAAAAAAACATTTTTGTTTTTTCTGAGAGTAGCATACAATAAAGCTACTTTTTCCTATTTCACTCAGCAAAGATGAAACAAAATTATCTATCTCTTCCAAAGTTTTTGTTGTTGAATTCAGCAAGATACTGAAAACAAAACAAAAAACGATATTCATAAATTTTCTGCTTGTTGTTTCCTTCCATTTTCCCTGTTCTCATTGAAAACTGTCCATAATTAGTCTCGCCCTCTCCATTGATTGGTTCTCCGTCCACCAACCAATGAACAACTAACCAATACGCTGAACACCTAATCACCATAACAATAACGTCGGTGAGCATGAAGTTGTGATTGACACTAAAGGAATTCCAGTAAAGATATCAATCTAGTATTTCACTTCAAGTTCTTGAAAAATTTTCGATTTGTGAAAATTAAATAATAATAATAATAAAATGAAACAAAGGTTTTCTGCTATTTTTATTGGCATTTTGACTTTTCATCTTGTCTGATTCAATTGTCTTGGTATACAATTCTCTTGATTATAAAGGAAATTTGGAAATGGTACAATAAGTAACTGAGAATTAAAACTGTTATCTTTGTCTCTTTTGTCTCAATCGTCGTAGCTATCGTTCGAGGTCAAGGAGGATGATCTTGTTTTGTTTACCTCCATCAGTTGGGTTTGTGGACTCTCAGATGTCTAATGAGACTGATTTTGCTTGAAAGGTCCTTCGACATTGAGGTCAGGTTGTTCCTGATAGCGGATTAGGCCTTGACTGTTGCTTTCTTTTCGATGTTGATATCAATGTTACATTTCTTATTTTAGAAGGTCCTTGAATATTTTCTTTCGAGCTATTTTTCTGATTTTCTTCTTTGAGTTGAGAGTAAAAGATTTGCTTTGGTAGCCGGTTGCCATCCCTTCGCAGCACATACCCAGAAACAAGTTGATTTTTATGACAATGGCTTCAATGTGGGTCATTTAACTTGTTCCAGTATGCTGATGTTAGTTCTTCTATCTTCCCAACTGATGTTCAAGATACTTGGAAAACAACGCTGATTAACTCTTTCAAAGAATTTAAGATGTTGTCGATAAGTTACCCAGGTCTTGGAGGCATACAAGGGAGTTGGAGTTTGTTCTGATGACGATCTTGAAAAACTAATTCGAAGGTGACCAAAAGCTGATTCTCCACATTTGAGACAGTGGTGTATCTCATCTTGAAGGTCAATTCTAGAAACCAGATGGCTACTAAGATAAGGAAAGTGATCCACATTCTCCAAGACTATTTCACCGAGTTCTTTGGTTCTGTCCGGACAGTTTCAGTTGGTGATGATTGATAAATAATTTTTGTCTTGTTTGCATTGATTTTTGTCCAAGTTTGGTGCATGCATTATTGAAGGCATTCAGTGTTTGTTGCAGGTGGCATTCAGAAAGTGTATCTTTTGTCTTTAGAGGATCCAATGGCTTCCTGTTATTATTAAAAGAAACGTATAGAAATTAGTTTCCTTCTTTTATTTGCAGATCATTTCTGTAGTGGTTTATCATTGGGTACTCTATTTCTGTAACCTTATGCCATACTAAGAAATATTTAGCTAATATGAATAGCAAATAATGTATAGATAACAATACCTGTTATATTTTGCAAGTAATAAGATAAATGATTTAATTTTCTTGACATGTGACTCAAATACAAAGTCAAAATTTTTGGTTCATTGTTTCAATATATTTCATAGTCCCCCACCCCATCAAATATTTATAAGCAATGTTTGTTAATAAGAGTTTTGTGTTTTACCAAATCAAATCTGTTCATCATAAACTTTAGAAAGAAAAACAGTCGATGTTTGTTTAGGTAATGATTTATTTAAACATTGAATTTTTTTTACAAAATAAAGCCTTTCAAAGTTCAAAGTATATAAAATCTAACATTTGTGCAAATAAATAAAATTATTGCCCAATCAAAAAAGATTCACAAGATGATGTTTATTCAGTTATGTTTAGGAAATTGGTTCATTTTGATCAACACATACAAACACACATTTCTCATTCAGATCCCCCAAGAGCATGGACTTGGTTACTTCCAATCTAATACAAAATGTAAATACACACTATGCCTGTGATACTAACTGCCAACTAAGCACAGCAGTTCAAAGATAACAAACATGTAAACCTTCACTTAAGTGGTATAAAATCAAATTAAGTGGTATAAAAATCAACTAAGGTGTGTCCATTTATTACAATTAAACATTATTACAATGTGTAAATAAATGCTGAAAAAACAGGATTGTTCATGTACTGCTGACACCATACAAATTTGTGACAATGCAACATGACCAACACCTCAGAATTCCAAACTGTTGATGTAGTTTAGGCTTTATGCTGCACATCCAAAGATTTTCCATCTTTTGAGTATGGATGCTGTCATCATGAGTATCCACAAAATGCTGCAGATAAATGACATCATGAGTCTATTCCATGGTTGATTTTCCTCAATTCCAGCCTAAGCAGCCCAGCCAACTGAAACAATATGGCTTCCAGGCTGAATATACAGTATAATCGCCTCTTTCAGAGTCTCTGCTTGCTGATCCAGATCCTCAACTAAGAAACATTTTCCTGAATTCCACTTGAAACCACTGAATACTCAATGGCCAGGTCGCCATTGGTCACAGTGATATTTATGATGAAAAAAAAAACATTTAAAAATATAAAATGACAGTTGATATTCTGCCATTTAAGTGAAGGATTACTAATAAAGCAGATAAACAAGAGAACCCCAAGAGATGGCTCCCACACAGACACCACTGAGTTATCCAAGGAGATATATACCAAGTTCATGTTATCTGTAATAGTCCTGAGGGTTGTGAACAAGAAGAAACCTATCATGTCATCCTACATTTTCTTGTAGACCTTCAAAGTCAATGCTATCAACTTCATTAAGATGCAAGTAATCAAAGACTCTAATCTGATTGATGGCAAAGAATAGACATTTTCCAGCACAACTCTACTCTCTCCTTTATGGAACATGCAACCCAAAATTCCTTAGCTAAGAATTTTCATAATCATGTCAACCCCTACGTGTGATCTCTGACCATTCCTGATTTCAATACTCTAGACCAAAATTTCTCAACCTTATTCTGGTTGTGGCCCCCTTCAATCCAATTCAAATTCTTTATGGCCCCCTCATGCCAAATTGAGTTCTTATCCTCACTCCTCCCTCCCGTCCCTCAACTTAATACATTTAGGGAAGTAGGAACAATAAATGTTGTAGTTTGGATAGTACTATGGCATCAAAACACTAACTCCAGTTATAAATCAAAGAATATTATTTGGATAAATATTTTATTTGAATAAACTCATTTATTTACAAAACAAAAAATACATGTACCATCAACTTTATCTCATATGGTTTCAATGGGATCCCTGTGACTGGTGTGGAGCTGCCAAATTGTTAATGTTTGGCTTGAAAGCCATCAAAGCAAGATGTAAATTGTCTCTTTTTTTCTATGTCAAAGCAATTTCAAGTCTTTGACAGCAGATGCATCATTCTGCTGAAACCAGACTCAACCAAGTAAGATGTGGGAAAAGCAAGTAAGAGCGACTTCACATCTTTCCAGAGTAGTGGGTAATACTAATGCATGTCTTCATTCATCCACAGCATCTGGAATCCTCCACGCTTGAATGTCAATTGAGATGCTGTGTTATTTCGAAGTTCAATGAAACTTTTTTTTTAGGGTGATATCAACTTCAGATGTATCAGGAATGAAGGGATTCACAAACCAGTGCAACACTGTCATTTGGAGTCAATCAAAGAAGTGAGTTTTCACATCATTATGTGACTGCTTCAAAATGATCAACATACACTGCTAGTTCATCATCAAGCAGTTTGGTGGATATATTTGCTAAGGAAGGAAACTATGCAAACTCCTGTCTCCCAAGGTTCAACCAGAACAGCTTTATTTTCCAATTAAATGCATTAATTGCCTCCTTGCAGAAAAACCGGGTGGAGCCATTTCCTTGGCGCTCTTTGAAATCAGGACATTCAGCTTTTCAAAATTGAAAGACAAGTTGGTGAAAGCATTAATTTAAACTTTAAATTATGAGTTTTAAATTTTAAGAAATTGAAAACTAAAAACTGCCATTTTGCATAGATCAGATGAAAAAATTACAATAAATAAATATTTATGTTAAAATGGTTTAGATTAATTTAATATTTAACTTAATAATAAATTAATTTTATTTTAAATAATAATTACTATTTACAAAATACTCCATATACATATATTTTGTGGGTCCTAAATTTTCTGTGCCCCCTTATGGCCCCCATTTTTCAAACTTGGTGTTGTGGCCCCTGAAAATATCTCATGGCCCCCAAGGGCTCCATATGGCCCACGTTGAGAAACCTTTCCCTAGACACCTATGTCTGGAGTGTCCTATGTCCCCATAATACCAAGAATATTCTAACATCTGGCATTGTAGTCATAATAAGAAACATATGATCAGAACAACTGATTTAGACATGCAATCATTTCCAAGGCAGCATTGAGGCCATCCTCAAAGATGTAGGTGGTTCAATAGAAAAACAGAAAAAGATTATTCAAAGATCAACATGTGTACAAAATTTTCTGAAAATATATGGACTTTATTTTACTATTGAATGATTTTGTTTTTCTTTATAATTTGTTCTGAATTTTGTTTGTATGCAGACACTCACTCACATATAAATATACATACAAATAAAAATCTATTCAATTGCACATGCAAACTTTGACATATTTAGTATACACTTAATATATCATAAAGTGGTGTTCCTTTGGTAAGAAATTAGCAAAAATATTTTCCACCATCACCATTAATAAATATATATAAATGGATACTGAGGTCAGCAGCCAGCAGTGACAGTCTGTTTCATACTTAAACACAATCTTCAAGCCATGCGAGTTGTGTTTTGGATTGATTATTTATATATGCTGGTCAATGGTGCATTATGAGTAGGTCTATTGCATTATCCTAATAGATATTGGGTGGCCAGTAACGGTTATGTTTCAAATTATTCTAGAAGCTATTGAGTAAAAAATTGTGGATCAAAAATTTGTAACTATTTTATAGTGTTGTTTGTTAACTCTTAAAGTAATGAATAAAAAGTTAACAAACTATAAAAAAGCTACAAATAACAAAATTCAGATGCACAAATCTACAGTATTTTTACACAATAACCTCTAGAATAATTTGAAACAACTGTTACTGCATACCCATTAATTATTCATAATACAATAGACTTTCTACACATAATTCACCATTGACCAGCATATATAAATAGTTGAGCCAAAACACAATACACATGGCCTGAAGATTGTGTATAAGCAAAAAACAGGCTCATCACTGGGTGCTGGTCTAAGTGTCCTCTTTTATATTTATATAAAATATATATATTTTTTACATATAATATGTAAATTATTTTCAGACAGAGAGTATCTGTAAAGGAACAAAATGAATAAAAAGACAAGAGGAAAAATGTTCTGAGACAACATGTTTTGTTGCAAGTCAATTGGTTTATTAAGGCTTTTAAATTAAGGATTTCCACATGTTTTGACTGACCTTTGAACCACCTGATGAATTTTCATGAATATTCTCAAATTTAAAAGCCCTGATAAACCAATGTCATCCTTGCTTTTATATATAAACACATGCAACAAAATAAATCTTACATATGTCTTGATAAAGTCTCTCAGGCAGCTAAGAATAGTTTTTCCTCTTGTCTTTTTATTCATATATATATATATATATATATATATATATATATATATAACAGGGTGTTAAAATATTCTTGGGCCCCACCCACTTTCCAAAATCTGACCAAGTAGCAGAATTTTTTCTCTGGAGATAGCCTTATATGGGATGAGAGCTTTTACACTCCTTCATGCATGTACACCCATATATGCATATATGCACACACACACACACACACACACACACACACACACACACACAGATGTGTATATATTAAAAAGAAGGCCAATTAAAGAGTTTCATTCTCAAATGAAAAGCCAAATTCTGAAGCATTTGTTTTTGATAAAGAAAAGAAAGAACTTATCACCAGTCCGTAATCATTTTTTTCTTGTTCACTTTGTAGACTTATACAATCCTTTTTGTCTTCATCTGAAACCTCAGTTTTGATACGTGGAAATGGAACAGAAAATGAAGTAGACACACAGGTTTCCTGAGAAAAATTTGACTCTAAATATTTTAAATCTTTCTCTGAGGATGTGTCAGGTTCAATTTTCACAGAAACCTTTTCTACTTTTTCCAATTTACATTCCTGCTTAAAGTTTTGAAGTCCTGTATCATATATGTGCTTTCCTAAAGACGAAAATGATCCCGGATAAGCAGACTTGACAGGGTTTTCATTGTTATTTTCAATTTTAAGACAAGTCTGTTGACCACTGTTGGTTTTCTTGACATCACAACTAACATGTTCAGGTAATGGTTGGCTAATGTTTGTATCATTTTGATTGTTATTTGCCATGACACAAAGTAAATTACCACTTGATGGTCCAACATTATTGCTTTGTATTGTGGTTGGAATTAAATTTTGAATCTCTACAGGGGTTAATATAATGGGGACCATGTTTAATGGTTCCAGCGGTTGATGCCCATTGATAGTCTTCTCCATTGTTGTCATTGAAAGAGTATTAACTGTGGTTGAGGGACAGGAAGAGTTGTTTCCAGAGGCAGAAACTGGTTCCATGGTTCTTCTGGGAACTTGGGTTCCTTGTGCCAGTTTAATTAATGGAGGCTGAACAAAGTTGTTGGGTGGACTTAGTGTTGTTGCTGATCTGAAATTATGAAAGATGAATTAAATGAATTAAAAATAATTAAGAAAATTATTCATATTTACTCAGACCAAAATTAATAACGATTTTGTTTACTTTAATAATAATAATAATAATAATAATAATAATAACAATTAGATTTAACCAGTGAAAATTTCACGGTTTTCCTATTTGAATTTTGTGATGAATCTTAATTCTCAAATTAATGACTGAGTAAGTTCATGGTGGGTTCTACGACAAAATATCTGTAGAAATTTCCCTATCGCACCATTAAATATTTGAGCTTAACATCTTTAACAAAATACTGCAATAACAATCATAAATATGAATGCCGGTTGTTATTTTAAGAAGTAAGGGGGTACAAATGAAAGTATTTGAAATTGACAATTTCTTCCATTTCAGTGAAACAGCCATTAAACACTTCTATCTTTCTTTTTTTCATTTTTTCATTGAAATCAAGTAGTGCCTTTTCCCCACTTCCATATATTTAAAATAGTCCATTATTTATGAGGCAGTGGCAGAATATAACGGTCGTGCAAGCTAATGAAAGGACAGACAAGCACAATTATAAGAAAATAAATTCATTGAAGGACTAAAACCATCAAACAACAGCATTTTTAAATTTGGTGAGAATAGCAAGCAGTTTGATGGAGTATTTAGAAAACGTGTTGTCACCTGACCTTTAGCAAGTTACCAGATATAAGTAACTAGCAGTAGAGTCCGGCATTGCCCGGGGATGTAACAGTAAGAGATAGATCAAGTATCGACCATCATAAAGACTGAAGAATAAAATTGACAAAGATTATTGTGTAAGATTGACGGACACGCATGTCTTAATTAGTGTTTTTTTGTTTTGTTTTTTTTATGAATTGGTCAAACTCAAACTCAAACAAAAACATTGTTTTCAATCATTATAAGTCTACCGATTGAATAGAATTTTATTATAAACAATTGTTTTGTAAATGGAATTTTTAAAGCATTCTGAATGTAAAAATAAGACAAAAGTGTGCAAGACAATAAGAAACACTACCGGCCAAAAAAAAAAAGTGAAGTTTTGTTGAAATCGGTTGAAAAATGTAGGAAATCCGATCACATATATAAACGAACACACACACACACACAAACAACCTGGGTTTTATAATAACTATAACTCGATATGAGTTGTCCCCCTTTCATTCTGGTGACTTAATCGTGTTTTCAAATTGATTTCATGCAAAAACAATTGTGTTTTTCCAATTTTTGGCACTGTCAGAACCACCGCCGGGTACTTTTACGTAGTCCTGTGAAGTTTTGTTGAAGTCGATTGAAAAATGTAGGAAATCCGATCCAATATATAAACGTACAGACACACACACAACCTGGGTTTTATAATAAGTATGATGTGTAATATAAATAATACAAGTAATGTAAAAACACACCTAGTAGAAAATAACACTTGAATAAACCCTACAAATGCAATAGTTTCCACCCATTCCTTGACAATGCACACGAATAAGACAATAAGAGCTAACCAAATTGATATTGTTATAAACAAACAAAAAACAATAAACTCTGCTTCATGAGAGACATGGCAATACCAGCCAACATAAATGTACCCTTTAAAATATTAAAAATATTAAAAGTATAATAATCTTGAAAGAAAGAATTCAAAATATGTGGGATATGAAAACTATGACTATTCCAGTAATGATATGAGCACTCGGTATGGTAAACAAAGAAAGTGACAAATTTTTAGAGCAAATACCAGGGAAATGCTGTCTTAAGGAAATTCAGAAACTCCTACTCGCCAACATTGCCTGCATTTTATGAAAAACATTGTCAATGTAAAATTGGGCAAGTATTGTGTAGATTGTAGGTTATATTTATTTTCTTGTAGTCAATTTAAATAACATTAATTTACATACAATTTTCAATCATGTTCATCTGTAAATAATGTACGTAGTTAAAATCAATGCAAAAATTTAAAAATATTCAAGTCAAGATCCAGAGCTTTGATTATACTGCTGCAGGTTTCCCTGTGACTGGGGTAGGCAGCAGTCGGCTCTCACTCCCCCTTTCCAAGTATCCCTGGGTATGATGATAAACTACATCCGGCAACAAGGCCTCTGATCAGGAGATTGGAAGTTTTGAGGAGTGGAACCACTTCTTAATTATTGTTGTTCCCAGGTCCACCCTGTCCTAATAGAACCTGTTAGGGTCCCAGCTATGGGCAAATAGTTGAACCCCTTCCAAACTGGGATCAAACATGAAGATGTAAAAAAAAAAGTACATTTTATAGTGAAATATAATTGTCTTACCCATGGTGCTCATAATCCAAGGTACTCTTGTTTAATTGCTGAAAACAACAGATTTAGAAGAGTGAACCTTGAAATAAATCTTGCCACAATGTGGGTGGCAGTAGGCTTCAGTGGCAGTCTTTGACAAACCAATGCCTGGTAAAGTTTCCACAGTCATTCAGTGGATGATCCACTCTGTGTAGAAAATGATGTGGCACACAGCTCAGGTGTGAAGATGGCAGATTTCTCAAATACCACAAAGATTTGAGTTGAGATGGTAGCTAGGATAGGCAGTGAAATCTTGAAACCAATAATATGGCTGGTTCACTTAAAGAATATTGCATGTGTACAAGATGTAATTGCATGTCTACTATTTAATGTTTTGTTAAAATGCATTTTCTCAACAATGGAATAAATAGCAGAACCAGATGTGGTTTACTTTTTGCTGAGTAAACTGTCATGATAAGCCCTTTGTCACCTCAGGTTTATGGTTGGGACACAGTGGGATGCATATGTATGTACAAACATCAAGTAATGAATGATAAATGCCCTGATGCTATACCAGGCCTGGCACTCATGACTTCTGATCTTAATTAATTGGAAATGTTACCCCAGCTATAGATAAATAGAAGGAAAGACTGTTTTCTATAGCCTTGGGTGGCAAACAGTCTATAAGAGAATGTAAACTCTGAATTCAAATCAACATGGAGAGGATTGGGTTCCATCAGGCTGTCTTGCCCAAGACACACCACTTCTGCAATACATGTAATGCCCCTACGACTCTAATGAATTATAGAACTCATGATCCAGAGATCATGATCATTGGCAAGTAGAAGTACACATTTCATCTTAAAAGGACTAAGCATAAACCATAAGAAGACAAAATACATGGTTATCAGCAAAAGGATGATCCCAAAGTGCAAATTACAGGTTAGAGACACTAAAGTCAAGCAGGTACAGAATATCTGGGAAGTGTTCTAACAGAGGACGGAGAGTGAGAAACTGAGATCCAAAGATGTATTGAAATGGCCAAAGATGCATTCCAAAAGCTAAGCAGAGTATTAAGAGATGGAAAAGTTTTGTTGGAAACAAAGAAAAGAACACTGAACTGTTATGTGAAATCTGTCCTGGTGTATGGCAGTGAATATTGGACAATCTCTTCAAAGATGAGGAAGAATTTTCAAACAACAGAAATGTAATTCTACAGAAGGATGGTGAGGATAACATGGACCGAACATTTGAGCAACAACGAGGTTTTAGAGAAAATGGAAACAAAAAGATAACCTATACATAACATCAAGAAGAGGCAGCTGAAATTTCTGGGGCACATAATGAGGAAAGAGGGCTTGGAAAATTTAATACTCATGGGACAGATTAACGGAAAGGGGGACTGGGGAAAACAGCATGTAACATACTTGATGGGCTTGAGTAAATGGATGGATGGTGCTTGGGAGAAATAACAAAAAGATAAAACTTATTAAGATGACTTATTAAGGGACAGGAAGACGTGGAGGGACATGATCGCCTACGTCCTGAAAGGACACAACACATAACAGAAGAAGAATGGACTTCAGCAAACTTTTGATTCTGTACCAAGGATTTATCAACTGCCTGACTATAACCAGTTGCACATGGCCCCAATAGGCTGATAGACTGTGCATCTCTGTTCATGAGTGGGAGTAGTGTGTATTGGGGGGTGGGGTTGTGGCTAGGTATTGAGAAGTTGTTTTTTTTCCTTTTTAAGTTTGAAAGATGAGGCAACATTGGAATTGTATCTTTGGAATACCCTCAGCTGTTTCAGCACCTGACCTGAAAATATTTCTAACCTTCAAGGTCATGTGCTGCTTATAGCAAAAATTGTTACCATCTCATACACATTTGGCTGTGATGCATGTGCTCGGTATATCCTTTTATCAGATTGGGTCTTAAGATGGATATATTGGGTTTTGCATATTTCTACTCCAGTGTGACTTCAATGTCATGCAACTCTCTCTCTCTCTCTCCCTCTCATAATAATAATAATAATAATAATTAAATAATAATAATAATAATAAACAAATGATGTTACAGACAGAAGAAATTCTACATCCATATTGTTTTCAAATGAAAGATTTTAGAAGAATTTTTATCAACCTACCTGAGATTGGTTAAAGCAATCTTTTGAGGTGGCATCTCATTTTCATTTGTACAGAAATATCCACACACAATTCCTTGAGAATAAATAGGAAAAGTTTTTGAATGTGTTGGCTTTTCAGAACAGTGAGACACACCAGCTTCAGACTGAAAGAAAAACAAAAATACATTTCTCTAAAAATACATTTTGAAAGATTGATAGAAAAGAAAAAAAAAACAATAAAAAAAGCACATTATAAAATAAATAAATAAATCCATCAATTATAATTTCCAATGACTAATAAAACAAGATGTTTTTCATAATTGATTACTTCTAGCTTTCTAAGATGTAAACAAAATCAGAAATGATGTTACCAAGTGAGAATATTCTCAGATGAAAATGCATCAGAAATTATCAAATAGACTGAATTTAGTTTTATGTTATGGAGTTTTATATTGCATTTCATTGTAAATTAAATTCATTTTAAAATCACCACAGAATGTATGTCTGAAGAGACCAACAACAAGTGTGCCTGTTACTGATAATGAAGCTCTTTAACCATGTTCCATGTAACTTCATGCAGAAACCAATAATTCAATGATCATCAAGTTATCAAACCCAAAATTGTTTTCGTAGGAATCAATGAGGAATGGAAATTTCTTTTCCTTTACAATTAGCGAACAGACTGAATAGACATAATGTTGATAAGTTTGAGAAAAATCATTATTCCAAGTTTCTTTTCCAGGTTATTGAACTGTTTTTTTCTTACTTCAAATGCACAAAAACAAGGATTTATTTCCTGTCTGAAAATTATTGTTACCTTTAGCATATAAAATATGCAGGTAAATATAAAAACTATTAATTAACTCTGTGCAGAAAATATCCAGCTATTTTTAATTGCTTTATAACTAGTGTTACTTTAATGTAACAAGGAACCAATCAAAAGTTTTTTGCATATGCAAATAGAGACTCTCCTATGGGGTTACTCATTCAGCAGAGAGATTCACTGAGTGAACTTGTGTATTGTGTTAACTCTGCATTCATTGAAAATATGTAACAGACTTTTGTGTGAAATTTGAACACTGGTCTGTGGAAATTATTCGAATAATTAAGAAGAATTTCAAGGATGATTCAACAAGTGAAGTCAAATCAAATTTTGATATTGACATTTTAATCATCAGCTTGAAATCCATTGAAGTTGATTAATATTCTGTAAAGGCTTCAACAATTAGAACACAAAAATGTTGACCATTTTTTGGTAAAATGATTTGCTGCTGTTTTCTAGTTTGCATTAATGGGGAAAAAAGTCTCCCTTCCATTTCATTAAAAATCAAACAAATCCATAAAATAGATTTAGGAAAAGAATGAGTTGGCCAAGTCTCAACAATTCTTGGAGGGACAGAGTAGAACATTAACAAGAAAAAAAAACACATTAAAAAACAAAGATATTTTTTTCCTTTTTAACAATCTCATGGAATAAAGTCTAACTTCAAGAGAGATTTAAATATCCAATAAATGGAGTAAACATTTATTTTATCGAAGCTAACAAAAACATTGTTAGATGTTTTATTTATTTAATGTTGCCTATTTAAAAAAAACATTCGTCATGTTGTCATTGTGAATTTAGGTGATTAAGAAAACAGACGGCATTTATCTCAAGGGAGATAACTCTTGTAAATTTAAACCAGTAAATAAGATCAAAACCTCTTTTATTAGTGATTTACTGTTCAGCTTAAATCTGAAATGTTTCAATCAGAATTTGAAAATTTCAAACGAGATGATTATTTGACAATGATTTTATAATTATGGAAATGATGCGTAAATTAAGAAAAAAAGACTAACAAAATTTTGTGGCATATACAGCAAATCAGATCTTAAATTTTTTCCAAGATTCTCCTTAAGTTCAGAATCTGAAGCCTACAAAAAAGCAGAACTCTTAAGATTTATTATTTTAATTATTCAAACTAATATAATCGCCTTTGTTATTTTAAAGATTTTGAACAATGTGTTTTTTAGTCTTCCTCACATGTTATAGAGGGAAGTTTTTGAATGTCAACCAATGTTTATTAGATACAATACTTAAAGAAGGCTGAAAAACACAGTGGCTGAAATATTGTAATAAAAAACAACTTGAGGATAATAATCTAAATAATTTCTGAAATAATGAAAATTTTAGATTACATTAAATTAAAAAAAAATTATTTGAACAGTCAACATATGATTTGACAATTATTCCAAGTCATCTTTGAAAGTGCTTGGTGGCTAAAGTAGTTACATACTTTCCAGCAATGCCTAGAGTCAGTGCCAAGCAACAGTAAAAGAGACAACTTTAAATGACTATTTTCTCAACAAGTAAACAGATATATAAACTCTTCAGCAATTTGCTTTCCTCTGCCTCACACACATTTAGCCTTGTGCCTCACTATGTCTGATAAGTATTAACTGAATTTTGATCTGAAATTTTAAACTGTATGATGTTCAATCTATGTGATTAATATTCACTAGTGAATTGACAAAGAAGATTATGTTAAAAAATAATGGTCTTACATTTCATATAAGCTGAAGATATGAAAATAGTTGTTTAACCAGAACAATATTTTAACCAATGTGACTCCTCAAATAGGAAGCATTTAAAAAATTTAACTTATAAATCAATCAATGTGTTTCTTCTCTTTTCTTCTTACCTTTCTTGGGGTCGGTAAGATTTGCTGTTGCCACTTTCAATGTGTCTACAATCATCATTATTGTACAGTGACCAGAAATGTGTTGGTTAAATTATAAAGTAAAATTCTTCCTAAACACTTTCTGCCTGATGAGCTAACTTGATGAAACTATAGTAGTGAGCAAGCAAGTATTTTACATCTTAAATCAACTTTATATCTTGCTCTGTTCTTCACCGAGTAGATTTTGCTGTTACAACCATTTTTAGGGTGGAAAGACCTACTCCTACTGTGTTCAATGCATGTGTTCAAACTTTCATTGTTATTGTGCAGTGTTTACATGCTTATTTGTTATTTTGTTTTATTTTCTATGCAAGATTCAAATTTTATGGTTGTCTTGAAAATAAGAAAATAATATATATATATATATATATATATATATATATATATATAATTATTTATTTGAAAATTATAACATAAATATGTTATAAAATCACTACAAAAATAGCCATTTTGTTTCAACACTTCTGGTGTATTATCAAGTGATAGTGCTTGCTCTACTCTGTATTGAGCACTCTTTTAAGAATAGTAATTTGGTTATTGGAATTTATTCCATATACAACAATCCTATATACTTGTGTGCATGTGCGTGTATATATATATATATATATATATATATATAAGCTTCCCCCTGAAACTAAGGTTGTAGGAACATTGAAAAGCAGTAATGAAAGATGAGACAATGAAATCAGGCATGGCTGAACATGTATGGAGGGAAAGGGATAGTAATCAACCCCTGTGAAATAAAGTGAAAATACTGGACAAAGAAGAACACTGGGAAGTTAGATGTCTGAAATAATCAGCATATAGGCTAGGCTATGAAGATCTCCTTAGTAGGCCTAGCATAAAAATATATATAATATGAGAACACTAATAAAGAAAGACAAATGACAGTATGGTCTTCAACAGCAGCAATCAAAACATGAACAGCAGCAGTGGCAACCTAATCAGAAGCCACGTTAAGTTTACTACAGCAAATTGTCCTACAGGACAATAGTGAATAAAAGCATTGTTTTGTGAATTTGGTGACATAGTGGTTGTGAGTTCGATCCCTGTATTAGGCAGTGTGTACTTACACTGAATGGAAGCAGACAAGCAGTACTGAACTGTACCAAATAAAATAAGAACTAGACATTTTTCCTAGACATGAGCAGTGGAACGAGAACGGTCTACTCCTGGAGATTAAATAAAGGTTTCAGCTCAGGATTCTCTGTAAGTTACTCAGATTGATATACACCTGAGGAAGGCAGGAGAGCATAATAACCAAAATGTTATGATAACAGCATCAAAGATGAAGACAATAGTCTGAACAAGAAAAGTCCTCATCCCAGAAATACACACACACATATATATATATATATATATATATATATATATATATATATGTAAATGCTAAAAAATTCAATATTTAGATGAATTCTGGAAAATTTAAAAAAATAAACTTTAACTTGCCTTTATATCCGACCCACAACTGTCCAATAACCAAATGATGAAATTTATTTTACATAACATAGTTTGCTGATCACATAAGATGTAAAGCCTCCATTCATCATGCCACTTTAAGTGATTACCAGACCATGTTGTATAATAGAAATACTTCTACTAGCCAAATGTGTGTCTGAAAGATGCACATAGTGAGTCTGTATTATCAATGTATGCATCCTCAAATTTCAAGTGTTTTCTGCTCCTTACCAGATATTATGTTGGCTGAACATCTACAGTTGATTAGCTGAATATGTATCAGATAGAAAACTGTAGTTTTCTTGTCAAATGTTTCTTAATTTATTTGATAAAATGCAAGAACCCATTACTTTGTTTCATAAAATGGCTCAAAGGAACATCTCCAAAAGTTCTATAGGTGAAGCTGTAATAGCTGATAGGTTAAGCTCACTAATACCTATACCTAACCTGACTTCAATCACTGCCAATCAGACTGTGGACTGCCACCAATCACAATGAACGGATGTCCTCTTGAGGAGTCATATTGGGTCTCAAATTCACACCTGACCTCAAGTGGATTTCTTATATATGATCTATTATTAAAGATGATGGTAAAATGATTGACTCCCTGTACCACTCCAATGATTACCTGATTCCTTATGCTATCCTCTACCTTAATAAGAGCCTGATCAGGCAGAAAATGGAGTCATGTTGCCATATTTGGGTGGTAGCTGCCCAGACTTCACTTTCCAGTCAAGATAGAGTTCAAAATTGTCTCCAAGTCCTTGTTGGAGAAGAATTATTTCCACCCTCCAACCTCTCTCTTTCACGGGCGGGGCGTGGCAAGCCTCTTACTGCTCTATCGCTACTGCCATGGAAAGTGCTCAGACGAACTGCATTTCTTGGTTCTACCAGGCCACTTACATTGGTAGCAAACCATCCACATTCCTTCCATGTACCATTGGGGAGAAGTTCCATTTGAACACTTTCTTCCTTTGAACCACTCCCAAGAATATATTTCCACAATCACTACAATCTTAACCTGCTAATGTATAAAGTTAACCGTTATCTTCCCCTACTGTCCATATAAACTAACCCTCTACCTCAAGTGGCTCCAGGGCCTTGTACAAGTTGAACCTTACTGTGAAAAACAAAAACTGTAATATTAAATGCAAACAGAGGCTTATATGTTGTCGAAAACAGTATTTTATAACTTTTTATAATCAAATGCCTATGTAACGTTTTCTCTGTTGTTCCCAAGAAAAGAAAAAAAATAAACCTCGACTTACATTTTTGGTTTCTATTTTCTTTTCTGCTTGTGGGTAAGGTTTAACCCTGGCATCCTTTGTTGTGCCTCCATATTTCTGTGTCATTATTTTATTGCGTAATCGAATTCCCATAAATCTGCGTGCTTCTCTACGTTCTTTGGCTTCTTCTGATTCTGTAAGTTTTTGCAGCTTGCGAATGTATTTCCTGCACATAACTTTTTCTTCAGGTGTCATGGTTCGAATTTTTTCCATCAGAGAAGCAGCCATGAAATCCTCTGGTTTTTGTTCCAAATGTTTGGTCTGAGAACAAGTGTCCATTTTTCATCCACAAATCTTTTCTTTGAAAAACAAATAGTCCCTAAATGTTGTCAAGCAAAATCTAAAAGAAAGTATAAAAAATATGCAATAATTAAAAAAAAGAAATATTGAACAATAATCAATACATCCACTCAAATTTTTGTCTAAGATTTTCTATATAAAGACGATTTTTATCTGTTTAATAAAATTTTGTGTTGCCATTTGAATAATTTTACAAATACAATGTAAAAGTAAAAATGAAAATAGCTTATACAATGGAATGAGTTAAGGATTTGTAAGTGACCTGAAAAATATTTCCAAAAAACTTTCTGATAATAAAATTAATTTAATGCGAATTTAATTAATTCATTAATAAATAGTTCTGAAATTTTCAATAAAATAGGAAAATTCCCATTTGTCTGACAACAATCCCTGATAACAGGAAAAACAACCAATAAACCGGCCATTTTGAAATCCTTTGGTAAACTGAAGATATTTTCTAAATTTAGTCTTTTAAATGTGTACAGTTAAGTTTTGAAGTTTTACTTTTATTATCTTGCCATCAACGAAAGGAAAAGGCCTGAACAAAATAATAAATGATAATAAAAAATAACAATTTATTCAGGTGTATCAGATGTTTATATTGCATTTGTTTGCAATTACATAATCAAACCTGACAATCCCAAAATAAGTTATCAATATTTTTAATAACAACTAGCAGTAGAGCCCGGCGTTGCCCGGGGATGTAACAGTAATAGATAGATCAAGTATCGACCATCATAAAGACTGAAAAATAAAATTGACAAAGATTATTGTGTAAGGTTGATGGACACGCATGTCTTAATTTTTTTTTTTTTTTTTTTTACGAATTGGTCAAACCCAAACTCAAACAAAAACATTGTTTTCAATCGTTATGAGTCTATCGATTGAATAGAATTTTATTATAAACAATTGTCTTGTAAATGGAATTTTTAAAGCATTCTGAATGTAAAAATAAAGTAAAAAGTGTGCAAGACAATAAGAAACACTACCTGCCAAAAAAAAGTGAACTTTTGTTGAAATCGGTTGAAAAATGTAGGAAATCCAAAATCCGATCCCATATATAAACGAATACACGCACACGCACACACACGCACAAACAACCTGGGTTTTATAATAAGTATAACTCGATATGAGTTGTCCCCCTTTCATTCTGGCGACAGAATAGTGTTTTATCGTGTTTTCAAATTGATTTCGTGCAAAAACAATTGTGTTTTTCCAATTTTTGGCACTGTCAGAACCACCGCAAGGTAATTTTATGTAGTCCTGTGAAGTTTTGTTGAAATCGGTTGAAAAATGTAGGAAATCCGATCCAATAGATAAACGTACACACACGCACACACACACAATCTGCGTTTTATAATAAGTAAGATATACAGGGTGCGATGGGTGAATCGTCGCCATTTTATGGATTTAATTTTGCGCATTTGCTCTGTTTCTGATTTTGTCGACTACACAGGATCAGTTGGGCACTGGCTGTGTGAAAAAGAGTACCATGATGCAATTCACCCTTCCAGAAATTTGGTAAGTGCATGCTGTACTGCTTGGCATTCATGCCAGAACCTCCAATACAAACAGTTCAGAGCGTTTGGGTGTCAATGCAGAGGGTTCGGAAAGAGCAGGATAAGCCTGATGGTGAATAATACGAAAGTGTTTGGAGTAATCACTAGAGATGGTGACATTATGCCTCCATTCTTCTCTCCCCACCGGGCCTCAGCAGATTCAACACGGAGGACTACATCAAGTGCCTTGAGGAGGTAGTGCTGACCTAAATCAAGAGGATGGCTGCTGAAGACCCGATGTCTGGCAAAAGAACTACACCATGCCACACAAGCAGGAGAACCCAGTCATGGCTGTCAGACAATTTCTGCGACCATATCACCCCTTACATCTAGCTACTCCCCAGACTGCAACCCCATATGTGGGACGCAGATGAGCGACAAACCAACAAAACGCCTTGTAACACCAAAGATGAACTGAACTGAAGGCAAGGATTATGGCAGCATTCACCAACTTAAACAAGGAGACCGTCCAGAAGAGTTGCAAGAGATTCCGATGTCGTCTGGAGGCCGTGATTGGACCAATGGCGATTTTATTGAATAAATTCTCTTTTTAGTATTTCAAGATATTTTTGTTGTGCAACTTTGGTAAATATAATTGTTTGCTTAATTTAGATGACAATTTATCCATCGTACCCTGTATATGCGGAAACACACATTGCTTAAATAATTTATCCATTTTACCAACATTGTTTTTAGTTAAATGATAAATAACAGTTCACGGCATCGGTTGACATGAAAAAAAATTGTACAATAAATGAAGTTACGAGTTAGTTACCTGTTTTTAGTTTCTGTTTAAGTTTACAGCTTTTTTTTTTTTACAGTTATTCATTCTCGAGTTTCTGTTGCTAAAAGTACCGACCATTACAAAGAGGTCAATTTTATTTTTAATAGAAAGAAGGAACATAACTTATTTTCGTTATCAATAAATTTAAAATACAATAACAAAACTTTAATTCTCACATAATAAGTAAACACTAAACAGTTTTAAGCAAAATAAAAATGTTTTAAAATACATTACGTGGAAATATACGTCATTTAAAAACGAAGAAAAAAGTCAAAAGTGTATTTGATTTTTATTGAAAAGTTATTGCATTCTATGTCCGTAAAAATGATGCAAGTATATTGTATGTACGCATAGAGGACTACTAGTTAATACTAACTAATTACTAAACTATCTCTGACTTCATCACACACACAGACACACACAAACACACATACATACTGTAGTGTTCAGTGTTCACATACTTTACCAGTTTTTATTTACTTTTACTTTTGAGGGGAATTACTTAAATAGACTGTTTCATTCAAAAAAAAAAAAATAATGGAGATATTGGTGGGGGTGATGATTTTTAGAATAGAACTCTTTTTTGTCCTTAGACACACGAAAAATATTGATTTGTTACCGATTTAGAGGGGGGGCCCTGTGTAATGTCAAATCGATCTGAGTTACTGGACTTCTTGACTGTTTTGCGTGCAAAAACAGATTTTGAGGTGGGGTTTTTTACGTTTACAAAAAGATTTCTCTTATTTCATTTGTAATTAAAAAACAAAAAAATTAAAATTCTTCATTTAAGATAAATAATTATGAACATCAAATATTTTTTGTGCATGTGCTTCCGGAAAAATCCCATACAGAAAAAAAAAGGTCTGTAAAATGCTAAACTACAAAAAAGTAAACTATTTTTTTTTCCGAGTGGCCGCTTTTTGCACTTTGTTGATAATTAAAAAAAAAAAAAAACTCGATTACTGTTCACCGAACAAACGCTTTGGAAAAATAGGAGCCAGTTATCGCACACTTACTAAAACTTTGTTTTTTAATGTCGATATTATTGTTATGTTAGGGTTTAAACTTAAAACTTTATTTTAAAAAAAAAGATATTTTTTTCTTTATTCGCGTATGATATTAATTTTGTCATTGTTGTTGAGGAAATTTTATTCAATTGATAAGGTTACTAGGCAAACAATAATTATTGTTTCGGTAAAAATGAACAAGAGTAGGTGTCGTTATCGTTACGACTGTCCTAACCGTTCCGGTTAAAACGGTAGTCACGTCATAAATAATAAAAATAAAAAAAAAGGAAAAAAAGACCATCAAGTCAAGAGATAAAAAAAGTAAAACGAAACCCACATGTTGCGCAACACTCACACACAAATTTTTTTTTATAAGTACGTAAAAAATCCTACCAATTAGAAAGTCATATGCAATTGTAGGAAAAGTTAAAATATATATATATATATATTTCTAAGTTCTCAACGACTGCTAATAATACTCTACGATTTTTAATGTCCACACACACACACACACACACAAAGCATAAGTAACAACAACAACAACAATAAAATTGTTTCTGTGTTTGTGCCATTGACAGAAACAATTATTATTATTATTATAATCAGAAATGAAGTGAGAATTTTTAAACACAATATCTTTTAGTTTTATGACCAAATAAAATCAACAAAGTACTATCGATAAGTTTCAACTACTTACACGGCTTCGACAGGCGGGGCACTCAGTGAGGATGAAAATGCCAATTTAACTTAATCGCCGTTAAAAAGTAAAAAGTGGAAGAGAAGTATATTTTTAACCACCGGTTGTTTGTTGACAATTTTAGGAGGCCATTTTTTGTGTGTGTGTGTGTGTGTGTCTTGCGAGTTCGAATTGTAGTAACAGCCAAAGTAATGCAAAGTAAGTTTCAACATTGCTAAAAATAGATAAAAATTCAGAATCGCTAGAAGGCCATGAAGTCATATTTTCAGAAACCAATCAGAAGGCCAACCTGTTGCCAACCAGGATATGACGTCATAGTCGGGCGAGCTAATCAGAAACTAGAACTTTTTCCAACCAGGATATGACGTCACAGCATCGCAAAACAGTCAGTAAGCGTTAACTTCGAAACGGATCTTCTCTTTGGCGACATACATATATAATGAGATACATAATCCAAATTCAGTTAGAGTGTTTAAGTTATTTTTAATGGTTCTCCAGTGCTAGCTGCTAAAACATATACGACAAACATCATTCAACTATTTTACAGTTACACGATTGACTTATACGCCTTTTATAGAAGCCATTTTTTAGTCTTGTCTGTAAGCAAGGCTAAAGAAAGCATGTGAACAGTTTTTATAAATCCTAAATTAATCACTCCTACCATTTTTGTAAATGGTAAGTAAGTATGTATAACCAGACTTATAAAAAAAAGAAAAAACAACTTAAAAGACATTTGAAATAATTTAAATAAAAATGTCTTACTTTTCTTTGAAGTTTTAAACTTTGGTTTTTATTTGAAAGATCATGAACAATCTCTCAAAGGCTCAAAGCTAATCCATAATTTGAGATATTTAATTTAAATAAAGAAATTTTTATAACATCGGCACGATCATATGAAAATGAAAAATTAAATTTAAAATTTCTTTAAAATCCAATATTTGGTTTACTGTTAATAACTTAAGACTAATTTCAAAATAAATCATTAATACATTAAATAAATTCGAAAATAAATGACTTTTTAGTATTTTATTTCAATAACTAAAAAAGCTTGTGTTGTTGGGATAACTTTTTTTTTAGTTATGTTTGTAGTAAACTAGTTTAAGAATTAAAAACGAATTTATCCAGCCAAGAATTTAAATGATAGTTTAATTATCTCTTTCATTAATTAGGTCCGTAACAGGATGTGCGCATTTATGCATTGGGACAGATTAACATGTCACTTATTTTAGAAAAATCAAGACTGCTTTGGTAGCGAAAGCTGGGGTTTGATGTGATAAGAACTGATAGCAAAAATTAGATTCTTAACTTTAAAATTTAACATGCAGTTAGTTTTAAAGATCGTCTGCAAAAATGTACAGAAATAGCGAATTTCCGTAGGATCTTGCTGACAAACTGACTTCAAAATCTCTCTATTTCAATCCAGATAAAATTGATTTTTTTAGATACAATGAATGGAAAACAAACGAGAATTCTAAGTATGAATCACCACTAGCAAATATATACTTTTTTATTTATTTATTTAATAAACGTAGGGAGTTTCGCTACTTCGTTAAAAAAAGAGCATACCCTGATGAAAACTCAGGCCCCAAACTTGATAAACAATTTTTGATTAATAACTTAATTTGCATTATAATCCGCCAAAACCAATTGTAATGAAAATTTTCCATTATGATGTGAAATTGCCTGATTATTTCGAAAATAACAAAAAAGGTTTGTGCTCGAATACCGTTAGGAGTTATCGATAATCTTATTTCGGCCTTATTCAGATCGCATCAATAATCCAGTCGTCATTACTGACGTTATTTACATACGTTTGCCTTGAGCAATAATGCGCGGAAGCTTACTTAGTTATCGGCCTTTTTACTGATCTTCTTATTTGTCTTGACTACTGCGCAATTTTCGCGAAACTTAATTTAAGACGCGCATACTTTCCTTAATGCGCGAATTTTTTGTTTTGTGAAAATGAAGCTTTAAAGGAATTTTTTTAAAAATTGATATAAATTCCTCTTTTCAATTAAATTTTAATTAAATTGGTTAACCATACAGTTTTGTTTTGTTTTTTCTGTGTGCGAAAATTTAAGCTTTAATAAATAAAGAATTCTTCTTTCTTTTCTTATTTTTCTTTTTTTTTTTTGTTTTTTATTTGCTTTTGTTTTTTCATTTTTACTTATATAATTGGAATAGTGAGGCTTTTTCTGTTGGGTTACTTTTAAAATTTCGCGTATTCATTTTAAAGTTCGCGCATTGCGCAGTAACCAAGAAAAGTGAAGTTCCTGCGCATTACCGCTCGAGGTAAACGTATGTAAGCAAAGCCAGTAATGGCGTCCGTTATGTTGTCGCGACGTGATTGAAGTCGAACTTATTAAACGGTACTCGATAGCAAACATTTGTTATTTGTGAAATAATCAGGTAATTTCACGCCATAATGGACAATTTTCATTACAACTGCTTTTGGGGGTATTATAATGCAAATAAACCCAATTTTTATCGTCTATTATTAAGAGGAAAGATCAAAGTAGGTACTTCCAAAAATTCATATACTTAATTGAATGTATTTTTTATAAAGGAAAAATCCTTTTTGAAGCTTTCCCCTAGCTTCAATTGAAAGCTAAAGAATTAAATTTTCTAATCCCTGAAAAAAATGCTGTGGAGTATTTCCAATAGAAATTATAATGATTCTTAGTCGATACTTCCGAAAAACCAATCGAAACGGCCATTTTTAACCTCTTTTTAGCGAAATGTAAACGAACTTATTTTTCGGTTTTGAAAATCCCGCTAAAATAATATACATTTCTGAAACGTTACTTTCGTAAAATTAGCAAATTTAAAAACAAAGTTAAATTAATCTGTTCGGGAACAAATATCACTTACTTATAGCATAAAATTTTCTAAATAAACATTTCTTGACCTCGGGGTCTTGTTATTCTCATGGCTCCATCGATAATTTGATGGTCGAACGTGTTGACAGGTTTAGTTAGTATGGTGCATCAGAATTGACATAAATTTACGAATTCTAAGTAAGAACGGTTTGTTTGTTTGCTTTTCTTTTTTTTTTCTTTTTTTTTTTTCTTATAATTTAAAATACTATAAAAATTTCTTACGTTATTGAGTTACCTCTATAACGGTATTCCATTATAGCTAAGATAATGATAAATAATTTTATTAATTATTAATATTACATTAAATTATTACATTTTTAATTTAATAACTGAGATAATAATTAGCGTTTTCGACGGCATATAAGGCACACATTTTTTTCGAAAAATATCTTTTAAAATTCCCCTGTGTCTTATATGCCATATGTAGGTTTAAAATTCGCGATAGGCATTTTGTCCCAATGATTCTACTTATTTGATAGTTTAGTAAGAAATCCCGGTCCGAAATGTTAACAAAGAAAAAAAACTAGAAAAATGGAAAATTGAATGTCTTTGACTAGATGCGAGGGTGCCTCGTCAGTATTCTAACGATGTTGTGACAGTATATTTTGCTGGATATATTGTCTGAAAGCGGAATTGTTTTTAGCCATTCTATCTCCTCTTTCCAAATCTTATTGAAAGCATATCTCCCAAGCCCAGTACTTGGTGGGGGCCGAGGATTGGCCGATGATTATATATTTGTAAAATATTTGTTTCATTAATATTTTTCTTGCGATAACTTCCGGTTTCATTGGTATAAATACAATCAGAATTTTTATATCTTAATTATGTTTACAAAACGCAGGTTGTATAGATCATATAAAGGAAAACTTTTGACTGAATTTCACTCCTTCAGAAAGAGGTTAAGCTACATTGTTGCATACAAGCTTAATGTAATAAACTATGCTAAAGAACATGGAAATAGAGCAGCTGCCAAATATTTTGGCCCTCCGCCTACAGAAAAAAATTATACCTTACTGGCGGTTGTAGGAAAATAACATACGGGCAGTGAAAAAAGGAAACTGTAACCTTCGCCACTCAGCCCTACACTGGCCTGAAACTGAAGAGGAAATTAAAACGTGGGTTGTAGATGAGAGGAGTACAGGCAGAAACGTTACTACAAAAATGAGAAGAAACGAGGCTAGAAGATTAGCGAACAAAAAGGTGATTCAAATCTTTATAGGAACAGACAGATTATGTTATCGTTTTATAAAACGGGGAGGTTTGTCAATGCGTACAAAAACATCAATTGCGCAGAGAATGTCAGCTGACTATGATGACAAAATAGTAAAGTTTCAGAAATTGTCATACATGCTCGAAAAAGAACTTCTTTTAAACTAGGCAATATCGATGAAGTCCAACTAACTTTTGATGTTCCATCAAACAAAACTGTGGATATTAAGGGATACAATACTATTACAATGAAAACCACAAACCATGAGAAGACCCATTATATAGTCATTCTTGCATGTTGCACTGATGGTACAAAACTGCTTCCTTTTCTGATTTTTAAGAAAAAACTACACCGAAAGATAAAATACCAAAAAGTGTGCATGTTCATCCAAAAGGTTGGATGGACGAAGCTGGTCTGCAGTTATGGCTACGAGTTGTATAGGAAAGATATCCTGGTGGACTATTACGAAAGCCCTCTCTTCTGGTTTGGGATCAGTTCCGAGCGCAAAGGACTGACTGAATCCATTAAAAAGAAAATGGCAGAATTGAAGACAGAGATAGCGGTTATTCTTGGTGGACACAACGATGTGTCTTTGAATAGACCATTCAAGCAAAACGTGAAGGAGCAATGGAACACGTGGATGGCAATGCGTGATCACGACCTTACACTTACAGGAAGAATAAAAAGACGCAGCATTGCATAAGACGACGAATGAGTGAAACAAACTTGAGATAATATTAGATCAGAAATTGTTGTGAAATCTTTTAAAAAGTGTGGCATTAGCAATGCTCTCAATGGAACGGAAGATGACGTATTATTTAACGACGATGACAGTAGTATTGAAAATGAATATCAGAGTTTTGATAACGAAGACGACGAATTTTATGGATTTGAAGGTGAATAAAATTTTAATGGTAATTGTACTGTTTTGCTCAATTGCTTTTTATTTTGTTTTCTTAC